GTCGCCGTTTCCACGTGCTGGCTTCAGCCTTCTGTTGCGAAGGCCCTACCGCCGACCCTGAAGGTGGACGACGACGACGAAGACAGCGACGATGAAAATATTCAGAGAGCTAAAGAATGGGAGGGATGAGGGGAGGGGGACGGAGGTGAAGGGGAAGGGGAAAAGGATGGAGGAGAGATGATAATTAGGAAGAGGAGGAGGAGGAGGAGGAGGAGGAGGAGGAGGAGGAGGAGGAGGAGGAGGAGGAGGAGGAGGGATGAGGAGCTGGATGGCAGAGGATTCGCCATGGATTCCCCAACTACCAGGATGTGGGTGGTGTGTCGCCACCAGGACAAAAAGGCAGCGCGGCAACCACGTTACTGTGTATACACCGTCGGGCTGCCGACGACGACGCTGACGTGGGTCAGAGTCCTCTGGGGTGCTTTTTGGGGTCTGGTCGAAACGCTCTTGGGGGGCCTCGGGGGACAGATTCGGGGTCTCTTGGGGGCCTCTTGGGGGCCTGTTGGGGTTTCCCGGGGGCCTCCTGGGATCATCTTGGGGTCTCGGTCTCGTCGGGTTTCTTTGAGGCTTGTTGGGGGCTCGAAATGTCAGTTTTGGTCCGCCGTCGCGGCACTGTTTTGGAGCCGTCTTGGGGACCTCTGAGGCTTTTTTTGAAGCGTCTTGGAACTCTCTTGGGCCGTTTTGGGTCGCTCGTGGAGCCCTTCGGGGCTGCGGGGGGCGATGTGGGAGGCCGTTTGGGCCGTCTTGGAGTGTTGGGAAGCGGGAGAGGCGAGAACGCCGAAATCATCCCAAAGCCTATGGAGAACCTACTGCTTTTGTTCTCGACTCGAGGCGCTTTTAGGACTGCCTCTTTGAGCGTCTTGCAGGTGTCTTGGGCTGTCTGGAGGCCATCCAGGCGTCTTGGACAGATCGTTCGGTGATTCGGGGCCTCGCGGATTGTCTTTGGGAGCTTTTGGGGCATTCTTGTCCCGTCTTGAGGCTTTTCTGCGGCCCAGGAGCCCCCGGAGGGGAAACGTATCTGACCCGGGACCCCCCTTTGGTCCGGACCCGGGCCAGGCCAGTCGACCCCCCCCCCCGGCGGGGGAGGGATCAAAGGGAATGGGCTTCCCTTCGAGTGTATGACGACGTTGCTCAATTTCGCTTTGGCTGACGCGCTTGAGGAGAAGAGCCCAGGAAAGGGGAGAGGAGCGGCGACGGGCAAAGGGGAGGAAATGCGCAGGCAAAGAGGACGACAGAGACGACGATGAACGAATGACGGCGACGACGACTCGAACGGAAAAGCCCCTCACACAGGCCGACAGGGTCGGCGGATATCTCTGCACGCGTCAGCCACGTCCTGACGATATACCGGCAAAGCCTGGGTGGTAACTGATTGATCTACGCGTGTCCCGCCCTAGCGTCCGCTGCGCTGAACCAACTGGCCGCGACCGAAAAACATGTGAGGGCGATTGTGTGTAAGTGTGTGCGCGTTTGCAAGGGACTCCCAGGGACTGCCTCTGTCCAGTCCCCCAGCGATTCGCGACGATGCCGTCGCCTCGCCGATGGAGAATACAATGTACGCGTGTGTGTGTGTGTGTGTGTGTGTGTTATGTATGTGTGTTATGTTGTCATGTGCTGTGGTGTGCTGTGTTGAGTTGTGTGTTGTGTGTGCGCTTGTGTGAGTGTGAGTTGGGGTGTGATTGTAGATGCGGGTGTGAGTGTGAGCGTGGGTGTGGGTGTGGGTGTGGGCGCGGGTGTGTGTGTGTGTGTGCGCGCGTGAGTGTGTGTGTGTGTGTGCGTGCGTGTGTGTGTGTGTTTGTGTGTGCGTGCGTGCGTGTGTGTGTATGTGTGTGTGTGTGTGCGCCGGTGCGTGTTCGAGGGTGCGCGTGCGTGCTTGTGGTCGTGTGCGTTCGTGTGTGTGTGTGTGCGCGTCTCTTGGTGGACCCGGGAAGCCGCGGTTTCTGCTGCAGCACCACATATGTATGTGCGCACGGCATATGCGTGCCGGCGCGCCCCGCTTGTGCCTGACCAGCGAGCGGTTGATCCCTCGCGGGGGCGCTACGTGGGTGGTCGATGCCCTGGGATACATGCAGTGCGCCCCCGGCTCCTGGGCCCTGCTGCACCCGTCGCGTGCCACGCCGCGGATTACCAGCCTGGAGCCTATCCCTATCCCTATGGTGGGCATCGCCTCATCAGGATGGCGATCTGAGGGATTCCCTCGGTTTCTGAGGGTGCATCCCTAAGATTGTCATCGCCTTTGGGCATGTCAATCTTAGGGATAGGCATAAGTTCGAGGCTGGTTCGCCGAAGCGAGGTTTCTGCCTTCTTCCAGGCGCCGTGCGCTCGCTCCCGGGGCGGTGCGCGTGTCCTCTGTGATTGTCTCCGCGGCCGCCGCTCTCCGCGCCCTTCCTTCCTGCCCCCGTGCGCGGAATCCGCTTCGCTGTGGCCCAGCGCTTGCTACGGCCAACTCGCGCCTGCGTCAAGCCCGCGGACGATAAAAGCTTCCTGGGCGATCATGGGCTCTCGGGCTCGTGTGTCAAGCAGTGGCGGAGCGTCCTGGCTGGCCTATAGGCCCACCAGAGACTGTTCTAAGAACCTTTTGCGGTCTGCTCGACATGTTCTTAACACATTTCTGGCCGAGACTGCCTCGTTTTAGCACGTCGGGCTTATGTTCTGAGATCATTGCTTTTGTGATTGGACCATTTCTGTGATCTGCGAACATTGCGTCGCACAGGAAGAATGTAGGGAGGGCCCTTGGAAGGCTGTTCCGACACTTTGCGGGCGGGGCGCGTCCAGCAAAAGCGGCCAACTATGGGCCCGAGGGTACACATGGTTCATTTCTAATTATTTACGCTTCGCGTATCCCCACCAGCCCATCTCACAACAGCAACTCTTGCGAAGCATGCCGACAGTCGTGTTTTTCAGGCGTGTGTCCGCTTGGCCCCGCATATCTCCCCTGTTACTCCTTCCTCCCGCCTCCTTGTACATCCTCCTTGTGGGGGGAGCGGGAGAAGGACGAGGCGGAGGAGGAGGGAGAGAAAGCGCTCCTCGTGGTTTGAGTCGTTTGGGGTTTCTCGTCCTGGTGTGAGTCGTTCGGGCCCTTCTTCCTGGTGTGAGTCGTTCGGGCTCTTCGTGGTGTGAGTCGTTCGGGCTCTTCGTCCTGGTGTGAGTCGTTCGGGCTTCTCGTGGTGTGAGTTGTTCGGGCCCCTCGTCCTGGTGTGAGTCGTTCGGGCCCCTCCTCCTGGTGTGACTCGTTCGGGCTCCTCGTGGTGTGAGTCGTTCGGGGCCCTCGTCGTGGTGTGAGTCGTTCGGGCTCCTCGTGGTGTGAGTCGTTCGGGCGCCTCGTCCTGGTGTGAGTCGTTCGGGCCCCTCCTTCTGGTGTGAGTCGTTCGGGCTCTTCGTGGTGTGAGTCGTTCGGGCCCCTCGTCCTGGTGTGAGTCGTTCGGGCTCCTCGTGGCGTGAGGCGTTCGGGCACCTCGTCCCCTTTTGGGGCGTCTTGGGGGCCTCTTGGCGGCCCCAGGGGCTTCTAGGAGCGTCTTGGGTGCCTTGGGGGAGCCTCTTCGGGCCTCTTGGGAGCCTCTTGGAGGCCGTTTGGGGCGTCTTGGGGGCCTCTTGGCGGCCCCAGGGGCTTCCAGGAGCGTCTTGGGTGCCTCGGGGGAGCCTCTTGGGGCCTCTTGGGGGCCTCTTGGGGGCATCTTGGGGGCTCTTGGAGACCTCTGAGGGGCATCTTGGGGCCTCTTGGAGGCCTCTCGGGGGCCTCCTGGGGACCTCTTGGGGCCATCTTGGGGCCTCTTGGTGCCTCCTGGGCGCTTCTTGGGGCCATCTTGGAGGGAATGGATCAAAGAAGAGGGGAGCTTTAATGAGCGCTGCCCCCTCAGAAGGGCAAAATGAGCCCAAAACCTTCGTAAAATCAATGATTTTGTCTTGAAGGAAGAGGGGAGCTTTCATGAGCGCTGCCCCCTCAGAAGGCCAAAATGGGGCCAGAACCGTATTAAAATCAATGATTTTGGTTTCAAAGAAGAGGAGAGGGTTTTTTCTGCCCCCCCCCGTCTGGGCCAGAATCCTCGTGAGGGGTGTCGTTTTTTAGCCCTCCCAGGAGTCGAAAATTACCCCCCTGACGACCCGCGGAACCCCCTCTCCATGTCCAGGGGGAGGGGGGAGGGGGAGGGGTAAACCCCTCCCCGAAGGGGAAGAAGGGGGGTTGAGAACAGAGAGGGCTCGCTAAACCACTCACGCCCAAAGGGCTGGTGGGATTCTTTGCGGGCGGGGCGCGTCCAGCAAAAGCGGCCAACTATGGGCCCGAGGGTACACATGGTTCATTTCTAATTCTGCGAAAGTGCCCTGATGTTTTGGGGGGGCCAAGATCCTTTCATTTCTAATTCTTCTATCCTGGGCCTCTCCCTGGCCACTACGGGGGCCAGGAACGATTAGAAACGAGCACAATTAGAAATGAGCACAACTAGAAATGAACGACGTGTAAGGATGCAAGGGTAACCTTGGAAAGCTGCTCATCCTTACCATGCGGGTGGACTCTATGAACAACCGCTGGGACCAATAATAACGTAGCACCCCGCAGTTGTTGAAAAACTCACCACCGACCAAGCCACCCCAATCCAACCCGAAGGCCTCAATTTGCCCTCCATTTCCGGAGGGGGGGGGGCGGGTCGGGGAACATTGAAAAATCACGTGTGGAACGCTACCCCCCCCCACCCCAACCCGAAATCCAGGTCTTCGGGTTGGGTTGGGTTGGGGTGGTCTGTAGGTAGTCAAAAACATCAGGAGGCGGCGGTAGGCCTATAGGCATGCCGGGACAGCCGGTCCCTGCTGCTCAGGAGGGACAAAAGCACACAGACACAATTCGTCGTCGATTCCCCAGAAAAAAAAAAAAACATGGAAAATGGGGGAAGGCGCGAACACCGAAAACATGGGACAAGATTGGGAATCCTGTGCTCTGTGCCCATCTCTTCGTGTGTGCCCCTGGGCCCCCTTCGGTCCGAGCGTGCGCGCACGCCTGCCCGCAGCCCTCGGAGCTCCCGGGGCCCGGCGGGCGGCCCCGCGGCCGCGCGCCGTGCCTGGGCTGGCGGCCCGCGTGCGCGCCGGCGGGCCGCGCACCCGGACGGGGGCGAAGGAAGCAGGCGGGCGGGGAGGGCCAAAGCGATCGGTGTCTTTTGGTCTCGAGGCTCCCAGGGCTCCCGGGGTGGGGTCCGAGCAGGCGGGGTCGGAGGATCGCGCCGCACCGCCGGTGCATCGGCGATGCATCGGCGATGCGGCTCGCTGTGGAGCCCGGTTTTCGCCACGCTGGCATCGCCAGTGCATAGCCGACGTCGGCGATTCATCGCAGATGCATCGCCGGTACATCGGCGATGTATCGGCGATACGGCGCGATCTTCCGAGCCCATCTACTCCGACCCCATCTAGGAGGCCTCTATAGTAGCGTCTTGCGCGCTCGTGTTTGGTCCCCCCGCGGCCCCCCAACGGCTGCGCACCAAAGGTCACTCTTGCCCAGGGTCACTCTTGCGCGTAGCCGAACCAGGACGAGGGCGAAGGAAGCAGGCGGACGGGGAAGGCCAAAGTGGTCGTTTTCTCTTCGGCCACGCGCAGAGGGGGGTGGGGGAAGGGGGGGGCTTCTTAGAAGCACCCCTGCTTCTTAGGAGGCGCGGGCCTTCTCTGTAGATGGAAGGCCGGCGCCTTGAGTCAGCATGAATCGGCGGCGAGCGAGGGGGAGAACTGAGAAGGGGCGGGCCTTCTCAGAAGGCTCGGAAGTCTCCCAGCCTTCTGCGAAGCTTTCTGAGTCAGAAGTTGGAACATATACATTACCAGTGGCAGGCTGCTTCTCAGTCCCAGAATTTTTTGAGGGTCGGGAACGACGTCGGAGTGGTGTGTTGTATACTATTTTCCCCGCTTCCCCGTGGAAGCAACGAAAAATGTATACACCAGGATCCCGTATACACCAGGATCCGCTTTCTTGTGCGAATTTCAGTGCGGGGCTGTAGAAACGTCGGTGTATGGAGTCCGGTCCCTTTCCGAGCATTCCCCGGAGACGCAGAACACTTCTCAGAAGGCGCGAGGGCTTCTGAGAAGTCCCGTCGCCCTCTGAGAAGGCTTTCTCTCCGTCAAAAAACAGCTTCTTGGGCAAAAAAAGCCCCGGGGGGTCGAAGGCAGCGCTGCTCCAACCTAGAGTGCCGTTTTTCATACATGCTCCGCGTGCGCATCATGTATTAAAATGCAGGAATTTAGTACTAAAAACAACGATGAGTTCATGCATAAATTTATCCATAATTTAGTCATGAATTGCAAATCCAATATTTTGTTTAAAATCCCATGTATCAAAAACTGCCCTGTACTTTAGCCTTGATCGCCAGAAAGAGTTTCGAGCGCCAGAAAAAGTGCCGAAGCTCGAGGGTTTTCACGTGTCGGGCCCTGGGAAACACTCGCTCGACACTGTTTCGACACTGTCTCGACACTGTCTCGACACTCTTTTGACACTTTTCCGGGTGCTCGAAATTATTTCTGGGATGTGGTTCTTAAGTAGGATGGGAACGACATAAACCAACAAGAGGAGGCACCGCGGAAGTCCGCACGAATTTCTTCAGTCGGCGCAGGCCCCCCCTGGCGGCGCCTCCGGCGCCGCCCGTGGCGCGATCCGCCTCCAGTGCCGGGCGCCGACCCAAGACATCCGCGCGGACATCTCGAAACTGTACGCTGAAGCGTTCGCTTTTTCCCCCCGCGTTTCCCCAGATGGACGACGGGGTGGTCGTGGAGTTGACGAACCACCTGGTCGTGCAGGTGACCTCAATAGCCGTTTGCCTCCTGCTGGGGAAGAAGCTATGCCCCAACCACGAGGACCCGTGGTACGTGGCCGACTTACTAGTCTCGCTGGTTGTTTTTCCTCTGCTCGCGGTCGCAGCTATTGGCAGCGTGCTGGATCTGCGCCATACAGTAACCTCGCGTTGGACAGGTGTCACGCCCGGAACCCGATTCTTTCTGCTGTTGTACATCGCGCGTTGTTTGGTGCACATGCCCGTGCAGGCCATGGAGAAGATGAGCCCGAAGCTCCTTATCATGATGACCGTCCACCATGCGGTTAGCATCACGTGTTTCGGAAGTGGCCTCTTGACGGGCCGCATGCACTTCTGGGGCTGCCTTGACGGTTGCTGCGAGGTGTCCACCGTCTTCCTGAATTTTATGTATTGTGGCAAGCAGTTCTCCATCCAAGACAGGAGGTTGGAGGATTTGTTTCCCAAGGTTTTCGCAGTGAACGGGCTTGGCCTCTGGCTGTCCTTCGTTATTTTCCGAATCATGCTCTTCCCAGCGTGGCTCTACTATTGGTACCAGGACGTGGTCACGCACCCCGAGCTGACGTGGACCCCGTGCTCGCCCATGGAGCGATACATCTACCCCTCGGTGACGGTCATGCTGCTGGTGCTCTCGGCCATGTGGTTCGTGCCGCTGACGAAGGGCGTGCGCAAGGTGGTCCTCGTCCTGCGCGGCCTCGGCCCCCCCGAGCAGGAGGCGGCCGACGACGAGGGCTTCGTGAAGCTGAACGACAAGGAGTGAGGAGGGCAGCCCGGCCGGGCCACGCCGGCCGACCGCCTCGCCCGAGCGCGGCCCCCGGCCGCTCCCTGGCCTCGGCCGCTCGGCGGCGCCCTGCGCCTCCCCATGGGCTTGGCCGGGGGGAGCGCTCGCGCCGATCCTGGGCCCAGGGTTCGGCGGCGAGCGGGGGGAGGGGGGAATCAGGGGCAACGGTAGGGGGGGACGACCGACATGGGCACGGAATGAATGGGCACAATGCCCAACAGCAGTTCCTGTTCATTCCCAACCATCTTGTGGTGTTGGGCCCTCGTTTTGAAGAGACGTCGCCCCGCGTTCCTCTCTTCCTCTTCCTCCTCCTCTTCCTCCTCCTCCTCCTCCTCCTCCTCCTCCTCCTCCTCCTCCTCCTCCTCCTCCTCCTCCCCCTCCTCCTCCTCCTCCTCCTCCTCCTCCTCCTCCTCCTCCTCCTCCTCCTCCTCCTCCCCTCCCTCTTCCTTCTTCCATGCGTTTCACCCACCCAGCACAGCGTTTCGTGGCAGCATAGGGAGCTCCACCGAAACCCCCAGTGGGACCGCCCGCGTGCGTCCCCCACACCCATTTTGGCATTTTCACCCAGCCAGCACAGCGTTTCGTGGCCCCATAGGGAGCTCCACCGAAGCCCCCAGTGGGACCGCCCGCATGCGTCCCCCACACATTCTCACCCGCCCAGTAAGCCCCCAGTGGGACCGCCCCCATGCGTCCCCCACGCCCAATTTGGCATTTTTACCCACCCAGTACAGCGCTTCGTGACCCCGTAGGGAGCCCCACCCAGACCCCCAGTGGTACCGCCCGCATGCGTCCCCCACATCCAATTTTGCATGTTCACCCACCTAGTACAGCGCTTCGTGGCCCAATAGGGAAACCAACTGAAGCCCCAAGTGGGACCGCCCGCATGCGTCCCCCACACCCAACTTGGCATTGGCACTCACCCAGTATACCGCTTCGTGGCCCCGCCCCATAGGGAGCCCAACCGAAGCCTCCAATGGGACCGCCCGCATACGCTCCCCAAATCCAATTTGGCATTTTCGCCCACCCAGTACAGCGTTTCGTGGCCCCATAGAGAGCTCCACCGGAGCCCCCAGTGGGACCGCCCGCATGCGTCCCCCACATCCAACTTGGCATTTTCACCCACCCAGTACAGCGCCCCCAACTCCAATTTGGCATTTTCACCCACCCGGTATAACGCTTCGTGGCCAAATTTGGAACCCCACCGAAGCCCCCAGTGGGACCGCCCGCATGCGTCCCCCACACCCAACTTGGCACTGTCACACCCCCAGTGGGGCCGTCCGCATGCATCCCCCGCACCCGATTTGGCATTGTCACCCACCCAGTACAGCGCTTCGTGGGGAGCCAGCCCCACCGAAGCCCCAAATGGTACCGCCCACATGCGTCCTCCACATCCAATTTGGCAATTTCTCCCACTCAGTATAACGTTTCGTGGCCCCATAAGGAGCCCCACCGAAGACCCCAATGGGACCGCCCGCGTGCGTCCCCCACACCCAATTGGGCATTTTCACTCAGCCAGCAAAGCGCTTCGTGGCCCCATAAGGAGCTCCACCGAAGCCCCCAGTGGGACCGCCCGCATGCGCTCCCCAAGTCCCATTTGGCATTTGCACCCACCCAGTACAGCGCTTCGTGGCCCCATAGAGAGCTCCACCGAAGCCCCAAGTGGGACCGCCCGCACGCGCCCCCCACATCCAATTTGGCATTTTCACCCACCCAGTACAGCGCCCCCACATCACATTTTGCATTTTCGCAAACCCAGTATAGCACGCCGTGGCCCAATTTGGAAACCCACCGAAACCCCCAGTGGGACCGCCCGCATGCGTCCCCCACACCCAACTTGGCACTGTCACGCCCCCAGTGGGGCCGTCCGCATGCATCCCCCGCACCCGATTTGGCATTGTCACCCACCCAGTACAGCGCTCCGTGACCCCATAGGGAGCTCCACCGAAGTCCCCAGTGGTACCGCCCGCATGCGTCCTCCATGCCCAATTTGGCATTGTCACCCGCCCAGTATAGCGCTTCGTGGCCCCATAGGGAGCTCCACTGAAGCCCGCAGCGGTACCGCCCGCATGCGTCCCACTCGCCGAATTGTGTACTTTCACCCACCCAGTGCAACGCTTCGTGCCCTCATAGGGAGCTTCACCGACGGCCACAGTGCTACCGCCCGCATGCGTTCCCCCCCCGCCCAGCGCAGCGCTTTGTGGCCCCATTGGGAGCTTAACCGAAGAAGATATTCAAAATTGCGGTACCCACAACTTTATATGGTCGGGTCCTTCGCCAGCATAATTTTTAACAGGACTCGCTGTCCGCGCCGCCGCGGCCTGTGCCCAATTGAGACAGAAGGCCGCCTGCCCAACAGCGCCCGCTGTTGGTTTGGGACAACATTTGTTGTTGGGCATTGTGCCAATTTTAGCCGTACCCATTTCGGGCGTCCAAAGTAGGGGGGGATAGGCAGACGGGGGGGATGCATCGATCCCCAATCGCCCATGGGTCGCCGATACAGGGGCCCGGTGGCCCCAAGCTGCACCGGAAGGTGCGGGCTCACGATCGGGGGCCCAGCGCCGATCCATCGGCGATGTGTCGCCGATTCCAGGTCGAGGTATCCCCCCCCCTATGCTAGTCCCCCCTTATCGTTGCCCCTCAGGGAAAATGAGAATCTAGGTCTCCCAGATGGGGTCCGAGTAGAGGGGGTCGGAGGATCGCTCCGCATCGCTGGTGTATCGGCGATGCGGCTCGATGTGGAGCCCGATGTTCTCCACGCCGACGTCGCCGATGCATCGCCGACGTCGCCGATGCGTCGCCGTTGCATCGCCGATGCATCGATGATGCATCGACGATGTATCGGCGATGTATCGGCGATGCGGCGCGATCCTACGACCCTAGGTACTCCGACAACATCTAGGAGGCCCCCAGAGAAGCAGAAGGCCTTGTCAGAAGGCGGCGGGACTCCTCAGAAGCCCTCGCGCCTTCTCTGGAAAGTGTTCTGTGCCTTCGGGGACGGCTCAGCAAAGTCTCAGAAGGCCGCACGGCTTCCCAGCCTTCTGAGAAGGCCTTCTCCTTCTCACTTCCCCCTCCTCGCTCGCCGCCGAAGGATGGGCCCAGCCAGGATCGGATTCGGCGGATCTGGCTGGATGACGGGCGCTTCCTGCGCACGTCTTGAGGGGCACGTCTTGAGTTCGCCGCCTCCGCAAGGAAAGCTTACGCCTCCCACCACCAGCCGCTGCACCTCGGCCATCACCATCACTCATCACTCCCTGCCCCCCCCCCCTCTCGCGCTTCGGCCACGGTTTTTCCGAGAGTGAGTCTGCGGGATTTGCCTTGCTCAAGAGATTACACGACGTGCGACTCGCGACTCTTCAGAGGGACCGAGATGGGGGCGGAAAGGCTATTGGCGAAGACGGCAGCGCTGCCTGCCTGTCCATCTTGAACAGGGCTCGTTTTCGGTCTCGCCGCGGACGTCTTTTTGTGGGACGGCCGTCGCCCGACCAACAGCGGCCGCTGCCGAATTTGGGCACAAGCTGCTCTTTGGCACCGTCCCCAAATGTTCCGTCACAACTTCTGGCGTGCCGAATTCGTATGTGCTTTTGGATATGTTGCTTGACTCTTGTTGGTGGCAATTCCGGCCACCCCGAGGCACCACCGCGCCCCAGCATGCTGGGGGGCGGATGCCCCCCTCAACAGAAGCAGGGGAGTAGCATGATAGGGCGAGCCGTAATGGGTGGGAGGGACAGATGAGGGCGGTCTCATTGGGGCCTTCGCTGGAGCTCCCTGTGGGGCCACGACGCGCTGTAGTGGGTTGTGCATTATGATGTCTTAAGTAGGACGGGGACAACATAAGTTGTGCAGACGCATGCGGGCGGTGCCACTGGGGCCTTCGGTGGAGCCCCCAAATGGGGCCACGAGGCGCTGTCCTGGGTGGGGGGGGACGCATGCGGGCGGTCCCACTGTCGCTGGAGCTCCCCATGTGGCCACGAAGCGCTGTACTTGGCGGGGGGGACGGGCCTTCTGTGGAGCTCTCTTTGGGGCCACGCAATGCTGTACTGGGTGTGGCGGACGCACGGGGGCGGTCCCCCTGGGGCCTTTGGTGGAGCCCCCCATGGAGCCACGAAGCATTGCAATGGTTGTGGCGGGTGCATGCAGGCGGTCCCACTGGGCCACGAAGCGCTGTACTTGGCGGGGGGGACGGGCCTTCGCTGGAGCTCCCTTTGGGGCCACGCAACGCTGTACTGGGAGTGGCGGACGCATGGGGGCGGTCCCCCTGGGGCCTTCGGTGGAGCCCCCCATGGAGCCACGAAGCACTGCAATGGTTGTGGCGGGTGCATGCGGGTGGTCCCACTGGGACCTTCGCTGGAGCTCCCTTTGGGGCCACGCAACGCTGTACTGGATGTGGCGGACGCATGGGGGCGGTCCCCCTGGGGCCTTCGGTGGAGCCCCCCATGGAGCCACGAAGCACTGCAATGGTTGTGGCGGGTGCATGCGGGTGGTCCCACTGGGACCTTCGCTGGAGCTCCCTTTGGGGCCACGCAACGCTGTACTGGATGTGGCGGACGCATGGGGGCGGTCCCCTGGGGCCTTCGGTGCCCCCCATGGAGCCACGAAGCACTGCAATGGTTGTGGCGGGTGCATGCAGGCGGTCCCACTGGGACCTTCGCTGGAGCTCCCTTTGGGGCACGCAACGCTGTACTGGATGTGGCGGACGCATGGGGGCGGTCCACCTGGGGCCTTCGGTGGAGCCCCCCATGGAGTCACGAAGCACTGCAATGGTTGTGGCGGGTGCATGCGGGTGGTCCCACTGGGCTTCGCTGGAGCTCCCTTTGGGGCCACGCAACGCTGTACTGGATGTGGCGGACGCATGGGGGCGGTCCCCCTGGGGCCTTTGGTGGAGCCCCCCATGGAGCCACGAAGCACTGCAATGGTTGTGGCGGGTGCATGCGGGTGGTCCCACTGGGACCTTCGCTGGAGCTCCCTTTGGGGCCACGCAA